CACACCCACACCCACACCCACACCCACACCCACACCCACCCCACAATACTTCAAGTAAATCTAATTTGATTAGGTCCCTAACACTTTTTTCTCAAGGCATACTATTGAATTATAGACGACGTTTGATATAAAAATGGATTATTAATTGAAGTGTGAAATAATTTTTGCAAATATGATACGAATCTTTTTATATACGTTATATATATGAAAGTTATCTTATTGTTGAATAAGTTTCGGCTCTTCTCGAGATGTTACTTTTGCTGTTCCGATAAATAATTTTTAATCCGAAAACATTTTATCATAAATGAAAATAAAAAAAAAAGAATTTAATTAAATATGAAACCTGTTTTAGGACAAAACTAATTCTATTATTTTCAAACTTCTGCTATAAACTCAATAATTTAATGAAAAAACAGAATTGTGGTCTGAAATTTTTAAGCTGAATTTTTCAGCGTCCACAGTTTAATTGCACATACAAATTATTTGAAACTAATCATAATTTATTAACATTATTAGAAAATGTCTACTCCATATCTCTTTTCGATACTTATCGATAAAGTGATGAACCGTAGTAATTTGTTTATTTTAGTATCTATTTCACTTCGAATTTACAATTAATTCTATGCCACCTACAAAACTTTAGAATTACTAAAACAATGTATGTGGATCATTGCGAATTTTTGATTCCATATTGACAACAAAATTCAGTACAGTCAAAACACATGGAGTTGTATTCATTATCAAACTTTACCAATTATATGCAAATCAAAAGTTCACTAATAAAATAAATCTTTTTTCAAGTGATTTTTGTCGATAAGAAATGCACTACTAGAAAGTTTATAAGTATATTAAATTTAAAGCCAAAAATAGGTCTTATTCGAAGATGGTTTTTGTTATTTGATGAACGAATATTGTTGCAGCATACATTCCTTATTATTTAATCGATTCCTTTTTTATTTTGGTTTATGGTGAAATATTTTTAAAATAAAATTAATTCTTCTTCGCGACTTGGTCTTAGGTCTATGTATTTCAAAGAGAATTAGACTAAAAATTAAATAGTAAAGATAGAAAAACAACATTAATAAAAATAACCTTTTTTAGAACACTTATAATTATATCTCTTATTCTCTATCCATGACTGGCTGCTTTTGTACTTATATATCGATATTAAAAATACTCTACAGACTTGTACTTTTACTACGTCTTTCATCTGATTTTGACTCGAATTGTCAAAAAAAAGAAAGTACAAAAAAAAATGTTTTTTTTTGTAATTGCGTGTCGTGTACAGTACTGATGATATGTATTAGAACTTACTTCGTTTCTGTGATTGCCGCTAGTGATATAACATCTTTAAATAAACGTGTTTTTACTGCACTTATTTTATAAGATAGACCTGTTGTTATTGAATTAAAATGAATTTAAAATATATTTAAAACCATTGCTCCAGTTCTATCTCCAACGATTACTTCCTTGCGTAATTTTTGAGTTCGTTTATATCCAGATGTAACTATAAATGATTCAGATCGATTAACATGAATAATTTTACATTGAACAGCACATATTCTTTCTTCTGCTAATGACTTTAACGATAAAATATCTTGATTTATGCACCATTGTGGTTCAAATGTTAATTTTTTTTCAGCTAAACGAGTTTCATTTGTTATTGTATATGAAGATCCATTTGATTTGAGGTGTGATAGTTCAAATCCATGTTGATTATCAAATAGTATTCGTAATTGTGCATATAAACGGCAAACAACATTTGAACTTAAATAACGCATTACTGTTATAACAGAACCTTTATGACCTTCCATTGTCAAAGTATAATGATGATTTGCATTGTTTTCATTTTTTATAATGCTCGTTACTCCAATAACATAGCCTTCTAAATTAATCGATGTTACTTCATTGGTAGTTGATGTTGTAAAATTGGTCCGCTTCATTTGCGATTGAATTATATCGTATAGGTAATAAAAAGAATATGACAGAGAACGAAAAAAAAAACGATGAATAGAAAATCGTTCAATATAAGAATTCAGAAACAGATATAGAAAATTAATAGTAGTGGAAGCAATTAAAGCGAAGAAATTGAATTAATTTTCAAAAATTGATTATTACAATACGCGCGATATTCACATAGAAGATTTAATTATTCATTGTAAAAATTTTAATTTTCTCTTTTTACGTTAGTATGTTGATTCGTTTGAGTTCGAAACACTTCTTATATGTACCATCAATTGTTGATTTTGATAATGAACAATCAATTCCATGTCGGATTGTTAATAATACCAGTATAGAAGATAATCAACATGTGATGACAGATGAAATGGATAATATGCTATTCAATCAGTCGGATCATATGTCCGAAAATAATTATCCAATCGATTTAAGAATAGCATCTAAAAAAGTAGGTTACATACAGATATTATTATACAATAATTTTCGTTTTTGTGCAGACATTAGATTCTAATGAACTTCCAATAATATCTAAAGCATCGAAATCATTGATAAACATGTTAAACTCAAATGACTTAAATAACCAACAACCTGTTTCCTGTGATCTGTCTCAAAGCAATTTTTTTAGTTCGAATTATACTAATCTTTCGGAAGCACAAAAAATTAATTCAAAATGTTCGAATTCTATCGTATATACTGAACAATCAGAACGATATTATTGTCCAAAGCGTTGTAAAGGACATTTGCCTATTATTAGTCCAATACGAATTACAGACGATTGTTTAAAAATACCTATGGTTAAATTTCAATCACGACGTAATTGTCGTCGACGACAGAAACATGCTTTACAAAAAGGAAAACATATTGATATCTGTAAATCTTCATCTACAACTGATCTCAATGAATAAATAAATAATTTAGTATACATTAAAAAAAAATTCTATCTCTCTTGTTTTATTTCTAATTTAAGAAAAAAGTATCCTATATGGCTTTTTGCGTAGATGAAATATAATACACATAATTAATATTTTCATCTTACTATATTAAGGAAGATTAGTATCTCTTACTTGTTATGTTGCGTGCTTAAGTTTTTCCACTCTTTGTTATATAATTAGAAAAATGTCGAGCCGTTACACTTGAAAAAAAACACAATCAATTTATTTATTATCATTTAGTTAGGAGGTTAAGAAAAAGATATTACATCTAATAGGTATGAATAAATTAATATACCATTTTGAAGTAAAAGAAAAAGATTAAAACTTAAATTTTATGGAGAAACACTGGAAAGATTTTACTTAAACATCGTAATATAAAAATCTATTTCATGGAATATCCAAATAATAATTAATAATGAAATTTAAAATTCGAATTTTAGCAATATTTATATTGTTTATGGAATGTGTCGATAATTCTTATTAAAGAATTTTGTTCTTTATGTTATTTTAGCGTAAAATAGCAAAAATTAATCTCGGTATCCAGTTTTATAAATAACAACAACGTAAATTATTTGATTTCTTATATATTTTTTTCCTCAGATTAACTCTACTGTTGGACAATACTTAAATTTATTTAAATATAAAAATATTGTTAATTTTACGTTTGTCATTTAGATAAACTAATATGTAAATATATTTTGAATTTAATTTATTGTATTAATTACTGTTAGACAAATTTTTTAAACGTTCTAGCGTAATAACCAGATCAGGATGTGGTTTCTGATTTAATATGGATCGAGGAAAATGACGCAAAATTGCCATTGTATCAGCAGATGTAAAACGTGATATTGGTACATAAACGTTGGCAAGATCAGATTTTGCATATGGTGGAGGAACTAAATCGATAACACTACATGCCAAGATTTTACCTTAACATTTATGTGTAGTCATACCATAAGCAGGTACAATAGGTAGTTGAGTTCGACAAATAGTTATGCTAGTTTTATTATTTAATAGTCTTTTTTGCGTTGGAGTGACAAACAATTTTCGATCGATTCTAATTATTTTTTGTTCGGGCAGAATAGGTATCATGGTGAGTTGTAGATCTACTAAAAGTGAAGAAAGTTTGCATTGTGGTAATTCTACTAAAACATATAATGGTTTTTAAATATATTTCGTATTAATTGGAAATTTAGCATCTCTAATATTGTTATTATTATTATTATTTGAGTTTTCATCATCATCATCATATACTAAACGCACCAGTTGACCAATTGAACTATTTGAAATATGTAGTTCTGTGGCGATATTATGTGTTATGAGAACTGGCATATTCATTACAATCGGTAGATATCCTGGTAAGCCTTCTGTTTTATTATCAGGTAATGAAAGTAAGAAACGTCGAAGATCAATATTGTCAATATCATGATTTAGGACTCGATCATTCGCAACCACAACCGTTGGTAATTGATTATACTTAATAGTTTCATCAAATACGCAGTAGTTGTTAATATTTGTTCTGACCTCATTTCTAAATACTAGCATTGGTGCTAAATTCCATGGTGATTCTCTTAATGATTTAACACCATTATCAGATGAAAGAACACGTTTACATAACATATCGTAATCATCCTTAGAATACATATGAAAATGCATATGTACATGTATCTCATAAAACTCACATCAGTACATTGTCCAGTTCTTAACCTTGCCTGCATGGCCATAAATAATGGATCTTTACTATGCATTTGTTCTGTCAAAACGAACACTTTATTAACTTGCAGCCAAAGTGCACATCCAACTTTGCATTGTATATCACGTTGAGTTATATTACGTTGTCTGTGAGTTTGGTTAATAGTATGCAGAGTATTAGCTAAAGTCTCAGTCGGTGATAATATATTTGAATAGAGTGGTCGATCAAGCACTGGTGGATACTGTACAAAATCACCTAGAAATATCATATTAATACCACCAAATGGAGTAGTTGGTTCAGTATGTTTTACTATTGTGGTTATTCTATGAAGTTGAGCTAACATGTGACAACCAACCATTGAAATTTCGTCCATTAAACAATAGTCAATATTCCGCCATTCAATTACTATAGCTGATATATCTGATTGTGTTAAAGTGCAATTATTAGAAGTTTTATTACGTCCTTCATGTAGCATCGATTGTACAGGTAAGCCATAGATACCTACAGCAGCTGCTGATGATGGTGCAACATTTCGTAACATATACGTTCGATTATGATGAGACATGAACGCAGATATAGCTTCGGTCACTCTAGATTTGCCATAACCACCTACTCCACCTAGTGTGGCATTAATGTAAATATATATATCATATAAACAAGTGTACGTTATCAATATTATATACGCACCAGTATACAGGGTCGGAAAGAATATTATTCAAGGGGGGTAACGATATAATCCCGAATAGGAGGTATGATAAAGGACGAGTGGCATTAAGGCATGTTTTCGGCCCAAAAAACTACGACCTAAGACACACATATTCCAAATCAGCATCAAATTCTGAGTGGAAAAGCGTTTCCAGAATATTAAAAATCGAAAAAAAAAATTTCCGAAAAAAGTTTTCCCTAAGGTGGGGTAGGGGGAAAATCAAAAAACCTTTTTTTTAAATTCGATCAAAATAGTACCTAATCCAACACAGTAGGTTACGCTAATCACAAATATCGCAATTAGAACTCCCAATAATGCTTTATTGTCAAATAGCATCCAAAACAAAAAATAGCCCCGGACCGTATTTTTCTCAATTTTGTCCTCTCAGTCAATACCGATAGGGCCTAGAATGGGTTGAAACAGTCTAGTCATATGTAATTCACTGTGCTCTATCTGATTTCAAAAGAATTAGGCTGATCAAGCGTAATCTTAATCAATTAAACGCAGATTACCGCCCCGATTGCCCATGGGTAATTATCCTCGAGTTTGTTGATGACCAAACGTATACTTAGAAGCGGCGAACAAAAAAGATACTTTTATTGCGAATACATTAGACTATGCTCTTTCTAATGATATCTTTTTTTAACCGATTTTTCATGTAGAAAGTTCCCATCCAATCTCATCAATCCGAGCCATCAAAATGCGTTTTTTGCCAAAATTACGATATTTGAAGGGATCGATCTTGAGCAAAATCAGGTGTATAAATGTCAGAGTTGTCTGGTTTTAAAGTACTCACTAAGTACTCCAAAGTCCTACAAGAACTGGCTTGGGATATTGTAGAATAGTCTGAAAAACCTTATTGCAAAATATCCAAAAAATGAACCTTTTTTCCATAGAAAATATGCTTCAATTCATTGAAAAAGTTAGCGAAGTTCAATCATATGAAATAAATTTTCTCTTATATTATCAGCATACGATCGTCTCTTAGTATTGATGAAACAATCACACCCAAATAACAAAAAAAAATTTTTTATATTTTTCCGTA